TATCTAATCAATAAAGCATTTTCCTTTTTATTTTTTCAATACTCTACGCCTATCTTTTTTTGGTTGTTAAAGTTCAAAACGCCTATCATTTGCATTGCTGCTGTGACAATGATCCTCTTGTACTTAAATGTGGTGAAGACACAAGTTAAAAGCCTTTGGTTTTTATTAATTTGTGTCCGTAGTACAAAACCATACATGAGCATAGTTTTCTACAAATGTTTAATCCAGCTTACTATGGCTTGGACAATACTGAACCTGAGTTTGATATAAAGTGGATAAGGACCGCTTAGGTGATCCACATGTCAAAGTCAATATGCTATTTCAGGTCAGAGTTGTCTTCAACTATATGTTTTTCGAATAAAAACTTCATGTCGTTTTCCTTTTTAGTTCTCTCATCGTTTTATTCTCTTACCATGCATGAATTCAAAGTATACGAATCATCCAGGCCATGATAGATATATGTGCTAATAGTGGGTGGATTTCAAGCTCAATTACTTGCAGCATCCTCTGCAAATGGTCGTGCAGGTTTTCTTCTTAGTAGTTACTATTCTGACTTCTTAGTAGTAGTACTTGCCTAGAATAAAAGACGAGTGCTAGTGCGAATTGGGCATTCTGCCTTGTTTATATTATTACATTCAGAACTTGGGGGAAGGCACCAGTGGACTAAGACCTTGCATAAATAATAACAATTCGTTCATTTATACGGTGTGTAAGAAAAAAGAAAAGAAAAGAAGAGGCTAATCTAGACTTCTCCGTCTGACCATAATTACACATGCAGTTTGAACAGCACAGGCATATATGTAAATTAGACTGACGTTGCTCTCCTCTACTATGACAGGATGATGCAGAACCAGGCCTTTTGTTTGTATGATGAATCATTTACTTCGACATTGTAAGTATCGGTCAGCAGGCCAGGCCAAAGCTGGAAGGATTACCAGCCAATATATATTAGACCTTGAATCAGTTGAAGTGCGCTAGTTCAGCTTGGGATGCAGTTTTTTCCACAGCCATCCACCAGTTGTCATCTTCTGAATCGATGTTTTCCTATTTGCGGAAGAAACTAGGACAAATCAGAGTTCAGGAAAATGAGTAAAGATTGGATGCATTTCATTGTAGGCGATGGCATTGAAAGAATATGATATGGCAAAATGAAAAATGAAAGGTTTCTCATGTCCTAGTTTTGAATCCAACAGAGGTGGAGAGAGAAAGCTAGTTCCTGTTGTGTGGCTCAGCCACAGAGCCAAATTTATTAAACAGCAAAGAGATAGCAAGAGAAAAACTTTGGATGCACGTACACATAGTCTCACCATATTGCTGATGTCTATCTTCTTATTTTCAACATCATCTGCAACTCTTATGGCTTCAAGCCACCATGAATCTGTAATGCAGCTGCTAGTCATGTTCTCATCCCCATAAGGAACACATTCATGATCATTTCGATATTCATGCACCATTTCAGGGATGATATCCAATGGAATTGGACGCGAGGGAGAACGATAACCTGATGCCATCCATATGTGAGTTGAAATTGGTCAGTTATTGATTAAAAGAGATTGAAAAATAGGTAAAATATTTCCGCACCTCTACAGTCAGGATCATGACATTTCTGATAATAAGCCGCCCTTCTGAGGTCAGCAACGTATATCACTGATAGAATGATTACGCCTATTAGCAAGTTTGTCTTACATATAAGAAAGAGTGGGGTAGGGGAAGTGCCAGACAGAATGCAGCTGAGAGTGTAATCTGAAAAACACTTCAACATGTACACGCAGACATACACAGACTAAGAAATGCAACAACATATAAGATTTTTACCATGATTGCTTTTATGCTGTCTGCCGATTCGCTCACAGTATCTGTTTCTTGACATGCTGTAGACCATGTGTCCAAACTCTGAGAACCAGTACCAGCTACGAATTTTACCTAGAATAGCAGCAAGTTATTTACAAAATGACAAAAAAATAATAATAATAACAAACGTTTCTGATGCAGGCTACAAGATACCACCTGATACATTTCCTACGGTAGCAACAGACACTATAAATGCATCCAAAGCTGGGAATGGAGATTTCCCAAGGAAGTACGTTGCTGAAACATCAGTTGTGCCACCATTCAACGCAAATTCTTGGGGCCAACGGTGACATTTTCCAAAGTTACGGTTTACCTGGAAAAACAAGGAATTGGTATAGTTAAATGACCTATTGCCAATACCGAAGGTAGAAGAATGCTCTAAGAATACCAATAGTTTGTCCTCAAACTAACCACATAATATCAATAAGATTTAGTATCTTATATCTGTCAGCATCAAATCAAAAGGCATGGAACAGTTATGAAATCCGAATTACCTCTGTATCAAAATGCAGAGTCTTTATACAATCAAGATCTGTTTTGCATACTAGAAGCTTCTCACAATCAACATCCAAATTGCAGATCAAGGATGCCATGAACATCTCCTCCTCAGATTGCTGTCGAACAACATAACTTTGATCATAAGATTAAGGCATACGATAGTCAAAGCATAAAAAATCCAAACACCACTAACAAAAGTCCAGGTTGAAAATATTATGTTAATCAGAAGGGTGGCATACCATGTCCTTGGCTTTGAAACGCCCGGTAGGTAGAAGCACTGAATTCTTCCCTGCCTTTGATGATAGAGCTAAACGAAAGCAACGATTTCGGGTATATACAGCAGTGTCCACAAATAGTTGACTAGCGGAGTTCGAAGACTTTGAATCTTTTCTAACAAAAATTTTTCCAAATCTTCCATCCATCTCCTTTGCACTTGAAATCCGTGAGCATATCTGATAATATGTCATCACATACTGACAATAGTTGATATTTCTACACGGAAAAGAAAAAAAAAGGAAAAATCATAGTAAATGAAGCAGATTCTGTTCATCACAGTAAAAAGAGGCTAAAAATTATGGAAAATTTACTTCTTAAATATGATTTCTGTTTTGAATTTATGTGTGGAAATTTAATTGAGAAAAAAAACCCCTAGGAAACAACCTACAGTAATCTCAAACTCCATTAGATTTGGAAGTAAGAAAAAGTTTCTGTAATCTTCACCAAGTCATACCTCAGTGACAAATGCACCTGCATGTGAGTTGTCCTTAAAAGCAGTCTTCTCTATGCGAATGATTAGGTGACGAGAGAACTTTGCTGCATACAAGTATAGTCAGAAGTGACAATCAATTTCAAAATGCAAGCTCCTAATGAAATTTTCAATAGAGGAATCAAAACCCAATATAATACAAATATTCAAATACATCAAGACAGCATCCTCATGTATAAGGGGGGTAATAATTGTGATCCACACCTTCAGTAGAGGAATCAAGCTCCAATATCCATTCCTTGTTTCCTTGAATAGAATACTTTTCAAGTAAGGCTTCGAAAATGACTGAAATCAAGACATCAACCATTTCATCTCCATTTCTGCCTGCATTGTCTCTCCTATTGAACTCCAAGTCAAAGTAAAGGTGGCATGGTAAACCCTGAAAGCAACACATTCAAAATTTAGGAACCACGCCCAATTTTGTTGCATATGGTACCCATATTTTTGTTTAGTGCTTCTAGTGAAGAGAAGGAAAGAAAATTCATGACCTCCTGAATCACTTCATAATGGTGACGGAACTTGGGATTCATATTGTTGTACCTGAAACAAAAAAGCAAAACAAAAGCATTACAAGTACATCAAGAATAGAACTTCAGACAGTGAACAAGTATAATAATCCAAAAGGACACAAAAAAGCGCAACCTTCTCCAGAAGTCGTCATAAGTTGAAACAAGGAACCTTCTTTGTCCACTATAGTGATCTTGATAACTAAAAACATGAACGTTCCCATTCCCTTTGGCAAACTGCATTGCTTCATCCTGCCTTGGAAATGTCGCCCATACTTCCTTCCTAAACAAACAAAAAGCCAGGTCAAGTAACATTGTTAAAAAAATATAAGAAGAGAACAAAAAGTTCTTGAAGCAGATAAATCAGGAGGAAGAATTACACAAATACCTTGAACTCAATCTTTTTTGTGTAGCAAGATCAACACGTATTTCACGTAACAATCGCAGCAAAGATCTTGATGGTTTTTTAGGAGGCACCCCATTTGGAGACCCATAGAATACAACTGGAGAAAACTGCTTTGCACGGTTAAAGTTGTTTGCTTTAACAGTTCCCGAACCAGACTGAAGAAACAGTGATATATATTTTAGGTAAGCAAAGCAGTAGGACAAAAATTATAGGGTGAATATCAATTGGCAAGTGCACTAAAAGAACATTTCAGCTATCAACAACATAAAAGGTCAAACTTCATTGAACTAAGGAGGAATTCAAGCACAATTATACACACAGACACAAGAAATCAGACTAAGAAACAATGAAGACTATAACATGAATACAAGTTAAGTGGGCAAGAAATCACCATTTCGGAGTAAATACCTTCTCCGCAGAAAGTTGTATTTCTGATGCATTTTTCTGTGTTTGATCTGCTGCTGATCCTGGAGAAGAGACCTCCTGGGTTTTACTTCTTCGCTTCAAGTTGCTTTTGCTTCTCTTTCTTTCCCTCAAAGCAGATTCTTGTAAAATCAAAATTTCAAAACCAGAGTAATAACTCAAATATGCGTTGGAAGTAACAGTATCAAATCAGACACTAAAAATAAAAATAAAAATCGAATATCAGACACTAACAGTATCAAATCTTCCTCAATAATATGTTTCGCAATGCATGTCTTCCAATTCGAAACCCTAATTTGACGTTTTTCAACGACATAGCCTCCAACCGAAACGCGTTGTCAATTTGGTAAATGCGCCTGAGATACGCTTTCTTTGTTTTCCCTTTTGTATTCTCAGTAACCAAACAGAGTGGAGAAGGAGATAGAGAGAGAGCTTACGAGGAGGGGAGATGCCGCATTTGAAGCACTCGAACAACCGATCAACGTCGTCCATGGTCACTGCTCCACTCTATTGCTTGCTTCTTCGTCACAAATTTTCTTCGTTCTTTTTATTTTATTTTATTTTTATTTTGGGTTATATCTAATATCAATATACTGAACTTTCTTTAGATGAGCGGCAATTTGAATTTTGGAAAGGTATAGATAATTTGATTGGAACCGTTTTTTTCCCGCTCCAGTTTGTTTCTGTCGCTTAGGCCACGTCAGTTGGTATTTATTTTTGTTTTGGTACTAAAACTAACCTTAAGTACTTGTTTATTTGCTTAAGAAATTTGCATCATTTCTTGATTTTATATGCGTTATTCTTGATGCACTAGGGTGGTGATTAGAGGCGGCCCATGGGGTGTGCGAGCTTTGCGACCGCACAGGGCCCCCAAAATTTAAGGGCCCCAAATTTTTCCGAGTCAACACATTCAATTAATTAAAACATGAAAATAAAAATGAAATATTAAATATCACCCCACAACGCCACATGCAAGGCCCCAAAACCAAAACCAAAATTGAATTGAATATTAATTATCAACAACTTCCACGACTTAGAGAGTCTCTCTCTCACGCTGCAACTCTTCTTTTTATTTATTTATTATGTTTGAAACATGTGTTTTCCTCTTCCCAACTCTCGCGCTGCAAAACCATTATAATATTATTCTCTCTATCAGTGAGTCTCTCTCACTCTCCTCCAATAAAATAAATCAATTTCTCTTCAGTACCAGTGTACCACCCTCTTCCATCAAATTTTGGATTGTAAAAACCCAAGCTTTAGCCCTTTCCCCAAAATCACAGTTCTTTTCTCCCTCCCTCATTCACATGAGAATTCACCGAGCATTGAAATTGGAAAATCAATTTATCAGCTCTGTGATTTGGAAGAGTGACTAAAGAAATTTTTCTGGGAAGCTCTTTCCGAAGGTGTTCCTCCCGTGTCAAAAATTTTTGTTTCTATATGGATTTTTTTTTCCTACTTGTATATGTAGGGCCTTCCAATTTCTTGATTTCATTGGATCTTCTTAAAAATAACCCACTACATATATTATATATGCATAATTACGAGTGTATGTGTATGTGCGTGCGTGCTTGTATACGTTGTTAAGCATGTATCGCACAAGTCAATTTCAGCTTAAAAAGGTAGAAAAAAAAGTCCTTCAGTTTAGTCATATATTTTCTTTCTTGTACTCACCGACTATCCATTTAATCAACTTGAAAATTATTTTCTACAGGTGTTAACTCTCTCACCCTCTTACTCAACTAAAGATTTATAAAAATGAGTATTGGGCTGTACGACTGGCTCTTGGCCTAAGTTGAGTTTCTCTATGTAATTATTGGGTTCAAGAAGAAGAACTGAGACTGATACCAGTATGATCAGATATTAACCACCCCAGTTATATACTGAGCTTTGCATTGTATAGTAATTTGTATGTGCCTCCTCATGAGTCATGACTAGAAATAGCAACAGTGATGGGTTTTTATGTTGTAATTGCATTATGGATGTTGGGTTATGTATTCAAGGATATGCGATGATTAAACAAATTTTCTATTTTTTTTTATCAAACACATGGTTGAGTCACTCTGACGATCTGAACAAATAACATGTATGTGATTGTATTTTAAAGCTTTTGAACATGTCCAGGACCATCAAGTATAGTTAGATAAAGTTTCTGTATGTATACACCTAGTACTTTGAGCTCCATTGCCTCCCTCAGCAATTCGCTTGTTGCATTGCAATTTGCAATTTGCAAAACTGCATGTTCTTGTTATATTCAGTCTTCCTCTTCTCTGCTTTCCCTCAAGTCTTTCCAACCATTTCTGCAACTACACTTTTTTATTTATTTAAATATTTTGACTGTACAAGTGGCATAGCACTGTAGGGGAAGACACCTTCAACAATAATTAGTGTGGTATTCTGTAGCAAGTGGCATAGCACTGTGAAATTCTAAAATGTTATATTATTTCATCTTTTATGGTATTTTGTAGCAATCCTCTTTAGGAATGTTTTCATAATTTAGAGAGAATACAAGCTAATTTTACAGGAAGGAGAAGCCATAGAAAAGTAGAACGCAGTGATGACTTTGATTGCACACTATGTTTAATATGAACTCCTTGTGGGCACTTCATGCCTATTTCAGTCAATGGATCGAGGTGAGTGTTTTGCTGTTACTGATTCTATTTAATTGAGTTAGTCCTAGAACATGGCCTTATAATAATTGAATGAGATGCTTGTAATGAGCATGGTTGCACATCCCCATTACAAACAGTAAGAAGCTTGAGTTAAACTTGATCTGGTGCTTAACAATGCTTTTGAGTTTTTTTAAAAAAAAAATTTATTAATAAATTGGTCACACATTTTTCTAGATGCAAAGTTGCATGCATAGTTTTCAACTTCAATTGGCAAAACTTGAGATACAATAAGCAGAGCTTAAAGTGTTGTGGATAAGGCATCTTATTTTACATGTGACACGTGACCTAATGGAATTTGGTTGTAAATCTTCAAATTTATTTCAAAACTCTTTTCTTCGTTGTCTCATTAGACTATTTTGTATCCAATTTTTCATTTGCAGAGAATATAACGCGAACTGATATATCTCATAGCAGAAGAGCAGGGTTGTAGAGGTATTTGAAAGAATTTAAATTCTCATTCCCCAATATCACTGGTATAAATAAAATAATTAAATAAATAACTCTATCCTAATTAGCCAAAGTGGTATTTTAGCCTTAAACCCTAAAATAACATGACAAAATTGTATATTTAAAGAGTATAGCCGAACGGCTATACAATTTAAATATATTATTTTAAAGCGGCGACACTCTTTGAATATATCCGAATATTTTAAAGGTATAGCCGCTCGGCTATGCTCTTTAAATTCATTCGAAACAATCATGAAGCTTTCACTCGCAGTCACACAGCCATTTCGCCTACAAGCTTCAAAGACTCGGTCTTGAGCCTCTCCCTCAATCAACTCAAGCTCCGATTTTTTTTCTTTCGTTTCAGCTGCTGCGTTGATTGGATTGGACTGGACTCTCTCTATGAAAACCATCAAATGCCATTCAGATATTGAAATCTCCAGTAAGATAACAACTCTGATGCTATAAGGGAGTTAGGCGGCCTGGGCTGATCTAGGCGGCACCTAGGCGGATCTAGGCGGCTTGGGCAGTTCTAGGCGGCCTGGGCGGGTCTGGGCGTCCTTTTTTTTTTCTTTTCCAAATGAAGAAAGACGAAGCTTGTACTCGCACAGGAATGTGGTGCGCGAGTGAAATGAAGAGACAGAGAAAGGAACACGAAGCTTGCACTCACAGTACAATCTTCAAAATTCAAATACTCGTCTTGAGCCTCTCTCTCAACTCAAGCTCTGATTTTTTTTCTTTGGTTTTGGATGCTTTGTTGATTCGATTTTTTTTTTGGTGCTTTTTCTGTTATTGAAGTTGGCAACGTCAGATGAACATCCAAGGCAGTTTCTTAGTATGCCAGAAGAAGCCCAGCAGATGGTTCTTTAACCTGAGGCACACCTTGCAGTTTGTCATTGGATTACACCATGCCGGTCTAAATGACAAAGATAGATCTCTAGTTGAGGAGCTTTTTGCAAACAACAAGATTCAGGCATTTCTGTTTTACCTCAGTAAGCATGAGTCTTTCCTGAAAAACACATTAGGAAAAGAGAATATAAAAGGATCATTTTCTTACTCGATATACTGATTAGGCATATGTATTAAATTATAGGTATTGGTTTGTACTAGCACATTGGCATGGGGTGTAAACCTTCCAGGTCATCATCTGTTCATTATTAAGGTAAGGCAAAATTTGTGCGGTATCTTTTTCATTTGGTTCCTATATTTACAAAGGTTTCTAGCAGGAGTATATTGTAGCAGCTGTTCTTCAGGACAAATTTACGTAAGTGTTGATTCTCTTGCAGGGAACAGAATATTATGATGGGAAAACAAAGAGATATGTTAATTTTCCAATATCAATCACAGATATATTGCAAATGATGGTTTTGGTCACACATGACTATATAGAATAAAAAATGGAAAGAAAGAAATATGTGAATCAGATTACATGCTTTTCTCCCTTTATAATCAACAGTTGCTCATATTCTACAAGAAAGATGGGAGTAAATGTGCATCACAATCCGCCAGCCTAACAATCAATAAACACAAATCATATTACTTTCTGAATATTTGCCTCAAATATTAATACTAGGAATAAGGTTGTTTGGGGTTTTGAATATCAGAAAATCTAATAAAGTCAATGGATGAAGTCTTGCAGTCCTATATCCTTAAATGTGGTGAAGACACAAGTTAAAAGCCTTTGGTTTTTATTAATTTGTGTCCGTAGTACAAAACCATACATGAGCATAGTTTTCTACAAATGTTTAATCCAGCTTACTATGGCTTGGACAATACTGAACCTGAGTTTGATATAAAGTGGATTAGGACCGCTTAGATGATCCACATGTCAAAGCCAATATGCTATTTCAGGTCAGAGTTGTCTTCAACTATATGTTTTTCGAATAAAAACTTCATGTTGTTTTCCTTTTTAGTTCTCTCATCGTTTTATTCTCTTACCATGCATGAATTCTGCGTTCAAGCACATTTCTCGCAGTTAGAATTACCAATAAGTGATTATGTCATAGACATGAAGTCAGTATTGGATCAAAGTATACGAATCATCCAGGCCATGATAGATATATGTGCTAATAGTGGGTGGATTTCAAGCTCAATTACTTGCAGCATCCTCTGCAAATGGTCGTGCATGTATTCTTCTTAGTAGTTACAATTCTGACTTCTTAGTAGTAGTACTTGCCTAGAATAAAAGACGAGTGCTAGTGCGAATTGAGCATTCTGCCTTGTTTATATTATTACATTCTACAACTAGCATAGCAGTTGATTAGTTAGAGATGTTAATCGGGGATGCTGAGCACCCTTGAATGTTGTTAGTCCATGCTTATTTCCTGCATTGTTTATCTTGTTTTGTTTTTTTTCCTTTGTCCTCCAAGAGAAGCTCTTCTTTTGTCTTATTTATGTAGATTTATCTGGCTTGAAGAAGGGTTGGATGTGAGTTAATCAGAACTTCGGAGACCCCTAAAGCATGAGAAATTAGGACTTACTCATTAAAGTGTTGTTAGAAGGGCCACTTTGGAATTTAGCCATATATTTTTGTCTGTAAGGACAATGTGCAGCACTTGAACTTAAATGGTACACAAATTGTTTCTGAAAAAGGTGAAGCTTTGTTTATCTAATTATTTATTTTTAACAATTACTCTTTGACTCGGATGATTTGTTCCTTAAGAAAGTAGAGTTTTCACCTCCTAGCCTCTTCTCAGATCTTTTGGGTACTTTTCAGGGTTTATGGTTTGATGGGGATTCTTCCTTATGGATGATGCCATGCATGAATGTTGAACTTGCTAACTCGCTAAGCAAAAGAGGAATATTCAACGTACAGCAACTATTGTAGGTGTATAGTTATAGATAGTTTTAAAAAAGTATCAATACATTAGACCTTAAGGCGTATATCAGTAAATATTCAAATATATTTACAAAGTATAACCGCGCAGCTATACTGTTTAAATATATATTTCCTTCTTTATGTATTTGAGTGAGATTAAGTAGTAGTTGTGAATTGAGTCAATTTCCCTCTCCCATATATATTTCTCATACTCTAACCCTAGAAGAAAGGGGTTAAAAAGAGTAAATACCAAGAAGACTTTTTTTAGGACATGGACATTTAGATTCAAAACGCATTCAAGCAATTTCATACTCAGAAATTCAACATTCTTTGATCCAAAAAATGTTGGTGGATCCCTTTTGTTGTTGTATTTATGGGTTAAACTCCTATTATTTTGTTATAAATAAAATTCATTTTTTATTCTTGCCCCAAATTATTGAAGAAATAACTCCAGCCGAATGGGCTAAAGTGGTATATTAGCCCCAAACCTTAAAATAATCTAAAAATAAAAAAAACTGTATATTTAAAGAGTATAGCCGACCGGCTATACTCGTTAAAAAAATTAAATTAAAAAACAGGATCGCCGCGCGGCTATACTCTTTAAAATTAAAAAACAATAAAAATCGTATAGCCGCACGGATATACTCGTTAAAATTAAATTAAAAAAGGGTATAGCCGTGCGGCTATAGTCTTTAAAAATAAAAAAAAATAGTATAGCCGCTCGGCTATAGGCTTAAAGAACAAAAAAGTAATAAAAAAGTGTCGCCGAGCGGCTCGTCAAAAATTAAATATAAAAAAGGGTATAGCCGTTCGGCTATACGCTTTTAAAATAAAAAAGTTAATTAAAAATATGATAGCCGCTCGGCTATACGCGTTAAAAATTAAATATAAATTGGGTATAGCCGTGAGTCTCAAGTATCAGTGGGAGCTGCCTTCGGGGTAGGCCATCCACAGTTTCTCAGGTGACTTGGACTTGGAGATTCATTGAAGCATTGGAAGAACGTGCCAAGCACAATCTCAAGTGGCCTGATTCCAACAGAATGGAAGAAATAAAGTCCAAAATTGAAGAAGCCTTTGGATTGCCCAATTGTTGTGGAGCCATAGATGGTACACACATCATTATGACCCTTCCTACCGTTCAAACATCAGACGATTGGTGTGACCTGGAGGACAACTACAGCATGTTCTTGCAGGGGATCGTTGACCATGAGATGAGGTTTCTAGACATTGTAACTGGTTGGCCTGGGGGCATGACGATGTCTAGACTTTTAAAGTGTTTAGGATTTTTCAAGCTCTGTGAAGGTGGGCAGCGTTTGAATGAAAATGTTAGAACTTTATCCGGAGGAGTAGAGATTAGAGAATACTTGGTGGGGTTGGCGATCCTCTGCTTCCCTCACTCATAACTCCTTATGAAAGCAATGGCCTCCCAGCTTCCATTTCCGCTTTCAATACCGTGCATGGGGCAGCAAGGTCACTTGCAGTAACGGCATTCTCGCAGTTAAAGAGCACTTGGAGAATCCTTAACAAGATCATGTGGAGACCTGATAAGCAGAAACTTCCGAGCATCATCTTGGTATGTTGTTTACTTCACAATATACGAATTGACAGTGGAGATATATTAGAACTTAGAGATGGCCTCGTCAGCTTCTTCCAACTGCCCCTTCACGTTTTCAAATTCAATACCTTTGCCCTTTTTGCTCTTTTCAGTAATCTCCACCTTCCTCTTCAGGTCTTCCATGGTTATTTGAAGGTTTGTCAACTTTTGTACATCAGAATCATGTCTTTCTAGAATCCTTCTCTTGTTGCCCTCTTGACTGGGCTCTGTAAGATCTCTAATTTGTCCACGCCCAATTCCTTCTCAACCAATGATTCTGAAGAGGAATATTTATTCTTGTGTTCCTTTACTGCTTCAGTCTGACTGTGGTCAGTTGGTACAGCGTCCACCTTCTGGCCCTTGCCAACCATCAAATCAATGCTGGCATCCTGGTCAGTGGTTTCCCACAACTCAAGCTTTCGACCACCAGCCTCTATGGTGTCTCTTCTGCTTATCCCCAATGTAGATAGAAACCAGCTTACTTTTCATATGGCGTTTGCAAGCACATGCTTCTCAAGTGCTGTTGTACACTCCTTCAAAGAGATGACAGATGGAATAATATAGGCAGCCAACTGATCTTGTATATAGCCCTGATGAACGAAAATCAAGGGGGGGAAAAAAGGATGCTAGTATAGCTGCGCGGCGATACCTTTTAAATATATTATATTTAAAGAGTACAGCCGCGCGGCGATACCATTTAAATAGGACAGCCGCGCGGCGATACCATTTAAATAGGACAGCCGTACGGCTATACCATTTAAATAGGATAGCCGTACGGCTATACTATTTTTTTTAATTTAAAAAAAAGGCCAAAAATGGCTATACAAGCTTTACATTTCCCTCCATGCCTGGCTCGCTTCACTGAATCACTTCCCATCAAAGTCTTCAAGTTCAAGGCCGAAAAAGAGGTGGGCAATTTCTCATTTGAGCTCTCATGGCGCCTCCTAAGAAATCAAAGAAAAGCAAGAAAGATAGGAAATTGAAGAAAAACTTAAGCTTGGTTCCAGTCGAGCCTAAATTCCGCAGACTCTGACTGGTGGGATAGTTTCTTTTACCCAAGGTTTTTCTTTTCATTAAGCTCAGTCTCCAATTACTCTGCTTCCTGCTTTTTAGTGGAATACATTCATATTACTTGTAGTTTTAACTAAATTATCTTTATATTTTGCTTATTTTGGAAAATCTATGACGCACATAAATCTAGAACATGTGGTGGATTTTGTTCTGTAATGTTAAATTCGGTAATGATGTTCATAATTAGAGCTCAAAACCTATAAACTGTGCTTTTGTTCAGTTAGGCTGTTGGAAAAATCGGCCTAGGCGCTAGGCGGGTCTAGGCGGGTCCTTTTTTTTTTTTTTTTTTTTTCTTGACTTTAGCTAAATTATGAACTCGCTTCAATTTCTGATGGCCGCTATACGAAAATTGGCTTTTGATTATCTGTTTTGCATCCTGAAAAGAGAAAGATGTGGTCGAAAATTTATTACTAGAGGGAGCAATAGAGATTTTAGCCTGTAAAAGTAGTATGTAATTGTTAGGAATTTGGTTCGGCCTAACTTGGATGAGTAGTTGGAAATCCTGACTGAATCAGACTTGGGGAATATACAAACACTGAAACACATAGTCGGGCTTTGCTTGTTGTCATAGACTATGAAGCCGCAATTCACTTCTGGAAGGTTGACAAGTTTGACTTTGTTGTCTGCATGAGTGCCTATATCGGCGTCGTTTTTGGCAGCATTGAAATTGGACTAGTCTTAGCGGTACGTATCATTATTGTGTGTGACGGTAACACTAGATCTAACAACTTAAAACAACGCATTAGAACTAATATTTCTTTTTTCTTCTGTGTAGGTTGCAATATATGTGATCAGGGTACTTTCGTTTGTGGCAAGGCCAAGGACTTTGTTCAAGGAAACCTTCCGAATTCCATGGTTTACAGAAATGTTGAGCAGTATCCCAATGCAATGTTCCTGGAATTCTCGTACTTGAGATTGATGCTCCCATTTACTTTGCAAATACCAACTACTTAAGAGAAAGGTACTAATTAATTAAACCTGAGTAAGAACTAAAGATTTGGGGCCTAAGATAGATAATAGGGCTAAGGTTTTGTTGAGTTGTTCTTGAGGTGGTTGTACTATCTTTTTGTTTTCTGGTCACGTTTATGTTCTAGTGAGCAAGAACTAAAGATTTGGGGCTTAAGATAGATAATAGGGACTAAGGTTTTGTTGAGTTGTTCTTGAGGTGGTTGTACTATCTTTTTGTTTTCTGGTCACGTTTATGTTCTAGTGAGCAAGAACTAAAGATTTGGGGCTTAAGATAGATAATAGGGACTAAGGTTTTGTTGAGTTGTTCTTGAGGTGGTTGTACTATCTTTTTGTTTTCTGGTCACGTTTATGTTCTAGTGAGCAAGAACTAAAGATTTGGGGCTTAAGATAGATAATAGGGACTAAGGTTTTGTTGAGTTGTTCTTGAGGTGGTTGTACTATCTTTTTGTTTTCTGGTCACGTTTATGTTCTAGTGAGCAAGAACTAAAGATTTGGGGCTTAAGATAGATAATAGGGACTAAGGTTTTGTTGAGTTGTTCTTGAGGTGGTTGTACTATCTTTTTGTTTTCTGGTCA